GGATGGATGGATGGATGGATGGATGGATGGATGGATGGATGGATGAAATAGTAATAATAATAACCCACAGATTGGATAAAATCTGGATTTAGCTCATAATCATGATTTAGTATCTGAAACTATGAAATATCTAATTGTTATGATATTTAAAATCTAACATATCTAATAAGTATGTCCTAACGAGTCTGCTAGCTTCCTTCCTTCGCACGTCATGATGTAAGCACATAAGAAACACTTTGTTTATTGGAAAGTAACAAATGTACAATCAATGTGTGGTACGACAGAGCTCCAGATGCCTTCAATGGAGCAGGGGCAGAAGCCTGGGAGCTTTGATCAAACCGTCACATGCTGGAAGACATTCTGGAATAAAAGAAACACACAACAACATGTAGCTGCAGATCAAAATATAGTGGAAAAACAGGAACAGCACATCTAGCATTGATGCTAATTAGCTGTCCTATTATTTCAGGGGCAATGGCGTCAGCCTCTTTTGTTTGTTCGAAATATGCTCCAAACTGATGGGACGAGTAACTTAAAATATGCTTAAAGTTAGAAAACACTCACCATCATCCTCCATTGATTTCAGCCGAGGTTTAGCTTCTCCCAGCATTGCTTCAGAGTTCACTGGTAGCCATGAGAATCCATCAGCTCCGACACCTCTTTAAACAGTTTTCATTGCGAGTCGCTCCTTTGAGCTCGCTCTGAATTTTGTTGTCAACCACCAAGCACAAAAACTCCTGCACTTCAGCATTAGACCACGGTGTTGTCATTATTGTTTTTTAAATCTGCAAAATAGGTCCAGTCACTCCTCCAAGTTCGAGTTATTGCAAATGGCGGATTGGGTTGTTGTGAACAGTTTCACAAACAACCAATGATTCCACCCCTAACCAATCAGTGACCGACAGTGCTCTGACATCACATTTTAAGGCCAGCTCGGTACGCTTGGAACCCCAGAGAAGTAGGTACTGAAAAAGGGGCCGATTCCATGAATAATTGCTAGTGGGAAAGCCTTGGAACCATGCAAAGCCGAGTCGAACTGCGCTGTGCTGGTATTAATGGAAAAAGGGTATTAGTTCACACCATGAGTCCAGTTTGGACTCCCTTACATTGAAGTCAGAAGTGGACCTGGAGAAACCCATATATACCCCTATCAGACTCAATCTGGAAAGGGATCATTAAGAACATTTACTCATCTTCAATTTGACAAGTTGTCCAAGATCAAAGCTGACCTGGACCCCGCATGCAATTGTTGCAAACAAACCCCAGCTACACTCTTACATGCATTATGGACCTGTCCCAAACTGCAGACTTTTTGGCAATCTATTTTGACACTTTCTCTGGTATATTTGGCAAAACTGTACACCCATCACCACTCATCTCAGATTTGGGGTTGTACCTGTGGATACGTCCTTAAGCAAATTGCAAGAAGGATGTGATTGCCTTTGGCTTTCTTCTGGCCAGGAGGCTAATTTTGTGCAATTGGATGGACCCACACCCCCCAGCATATGTACATTGGCTAAGAGAAGCGATGTATCATATCCATTTAGGAAAAAATTGATCAACCCTGAAGGGTTCTGTAAAAAGATTTTGGGACACTTTTATATTGTATGTAGAAAACATGTCAGTATCTGTTTAATTTGTTTATGTATGTTTGACTGATCCAGTGTGAGGGGGGTTGGGGAGTGGGAGGGTTTTTTGTTCTTTTGTGTTCTCTTTTTATTTTATTTTCGTATGTTAAAAATCAATTAAAAAATTTTGATTTAAAAAAACGTATCAAGCTAACATTTATGACTAATATAAACTGTATGGCAAGAAAGTGTTATGATAAAGCTACACTAGAAATACATGAATTTCTACTGATTGGGGATGAGACATCCACCCCCTACCCCCCAACGTGTAATGATATTGTCATGGCCTCAGACAATGGACTAGTGTCTATACTAGTCCTGTTAGACCTCAGTGCTGCATTTGATACAGTTGATCACAATATTTTACTACAGAGGCTTGAATATGTTATTGGGATTACAGGAACAACTCTAAAATGGTTTAAATCATATTTATTTGATAGATTCCAGTTTGTAAATATAATCTGGCAGACAAACTGACCACATTTCTTCACTATGCTACTGTCTTTACTTACTCTGCTCAACTTGTTTTGTATTTGTAATTATTTATATTCTTATATTTCTATATGTGTTACTACAGAAGACAACTTCATTAGAAAGTTATGTTAGTGTTTTTTTTTCCCTGTTCCCAATTTGAAGATGGTCCAAATCACCATTTGTCTGTGTTTCTGCAGAAAAACGGACAGGGTCGCGACTGTATCTTCACAGAGATTGTTCTGGAAAACAACTACACCGCGCTGAGGAATGCTCATTACGATGGCTGGTACATGGCCTTCACCCGGCGTGGGCGGCCGCGGAAGGGCTCACGAACACGCCAGCACCAGCGTGAAGTCCATTTTATGAAGAGGTTGCCAAAGGGGCAGCAGCCTGCTCACCCAAGCCAACATCGACCTTTTGATTTCATCCACTACCTGTTCAGTCAAAGGACGAAACGTACACGATACTCGTCGGAGCACTGAGGGGATAAGGCAAGGAGAAAGAAACCGAGAGAGGAAAGAGAAAATTAACTATTGACTCAATTATCATCAAATTACACACTTCTGTACAAGAAAGGATAGATTAGAGACATTTTCATGGTATATCCTATAACTTAGCTTATTTTTTATGTTTTTTAAGTAAAGAAAAATGCAGGAAATCTATTTTTGTACTCCAGACTTTTAGTACTGATAAGTAAACAATATCAAAACATATATAAATATATATATATATATATATATATATATATATATATATATATATATATATATATATATATATATATATATGCAGATGACTTGATGTCTGACTAGTTTTGAACCTCTCTGTAGAGTGCATTATTTTGTTATTGCACGTTCTTTTAACAGTCATTTTTTGACTCAACTGCTGCTCAAGGAGACTTGAAGGGCCCTGATTGACCGTATTGCCAGGGAAGGCTGCGTTCAGAGATGCACACTGTCACACACTGCACTGCAGAGCCCTGGAAGCAGCAGCAAACCTTTCAGCAACACTGTAGTGGTACAGCTGCTATGTCTAAGCTTTGTGCCAGAGCTTTAATAGCACCTGACTGAACAATGTGGCAGCTATGTTTTATTATAATTGCAAGTTTTCTGGTCCAACTGTAGTGACTTTTTGTGTACAAAATATGTTTAAGTGTAAGGAATCCCTCACCCTCTATCCCTTATCGTTTACATCAAGGTTCATGCTCTGTAATCCAGGTTAAAAAAAATCCAACAATGTTCAGTCAGGTCATCTGGACAGTTTTTTTTTTTTATTGAGAGACATTGAGAAGCAACTGATGAAGCCCTTGGGATGGAGTGCGAAACATTTCTCAACATCTCTAATCTCTCAACGTCCAGATGATGTGACTGAACATAGTAGAATTTTTTTTTACCTGGATTGCTGAGCATGAACCTTTATGTCTTGCATCACTTTGGCTGTGGCTGCCTGCCTGGGAGGAGTTGATGGGGCAGAGGACGACCCCCAGAAACCATCTTGACACCAGCAAGCTGGCTGGTCCACTGTAGGAGTGTACTGTTAGTGAGGAAAACAGTTTGTTTGTGACTCCTCAGACTCATAAAGCCCTTCGGATGGAGGGCGAAACGTCTCAACAAAAAAAAAAAAGGAAACTGCAGATGACGTTGTCTTTTACATTTGTGTTTTTTTCCTGTTTTTTCCATAAATATATAAATATATTTTTATTTGAGGATGTATGTAATATTTTTTAATGATTGAATATTTATTTAAAAGTAATAAATGTACATTAGAATATTGATATTAAACTCTTGTTTGATACACACTTGCTTAAATCCCCTTTTGTGAAACTGAAAATGAACGTGCAAGTTTTCCTTATAGGTTTTGTTTATGCTTTGCTTTGGTTAAATTCATTTTTGTTGACAAATCAACAGTTTAGCCAAACCTGTAACAAGTTTGTACGTTACCCCTACAATTTAAAAATTTACTTGTTCTTTCTCCCTTTCATTCACATGCATATATTCACTCACTTATACTGACTTTTATTCCTTGGTGCTCCAGAGAACACCTCCACCTCCCCAAGCTCTCTTCCACCTGCTCTCTCCTCACTACAGGTAACCGTGTTGAATGTAAACTTCATAGTCCACACGGACCCTTGCCTTCCTTCAACTTCTGACCATCACCACTGGAAACTGAAAGGGACTCAGTTGCTCCTTGATACAATTCCACCCCATCTTGACTAACCTGGGCTCTCTAATAAATGTGCTTTGTTTG